TTAGTATGTAATCTCATACCTTGGATTGAATAATGACACCCCAGTTTTTTACTGTTCTCTGTCCAATGAGTTCAGAACAGAACAGTACAGGTAACACACATGGAAACTCATAGTAATGTTGTAGTAATGTTGAGGAAGTATCATCTCCTATCTTACTGCCCCTTTTTGTTCCTGTATTCTTTAGTGTTCTTTCTGCCTCTGCTATAGCCGACACGTGCATGCAAAACGCACGTACCAACGTGCACATCGATACATGCATACGCAGATACCAGACAGATGGTTGGAGCTTTGCTCTGACAGAGGCGAAAGCACAGGGCACTCTACTCTTCAAAGTCTCCTCGCCTCTCCTCCAGCAGCTTTTTTTAAATGCCATCTGTACTCAGGCACAGTAATGTTACTTAAAACAAGGACATCGCATTTTCTTCTGCTTCATTAGAGGCCAACAGGAAGAGGAGCTCTTTCTCTCCCTGCCATGGTATAAATCCTTTGGAAGGGCAGGATTAATCATTTGATACAGATGGCCCGCTGCGGTTCCTTAAGTAAAAGATAAAATGACGTGATTAAGTAGCAGAATGCCAAAAAAACAAGAATTTGCTTATTCTGTTTAATCGTGCATTAGTGCAAGTGTCTGTCACACAAATGCAGTGTGGTAGAAGTACAAAACTCTGTGTGTGTGTTTGAGAAAGTCAGAGAATGTGCGCGTTTCATTACCCAGCAACCAGTTCTCTCACCTCTCTTTTCTGCGGGCTCTCAGAGGAGCAGTCATTATTCTTTGTCAGTCAGTCAGTGTTTGGGGAAATGATAGTGTGTTTTAGAGAAATCGTGGCTTTGTTTGGGAAGGAGCAAGCAAGAATAGCGCTGTTTCCTTTCATCATCATCCTTTTACTCTCACCTCTTAACATTCTCCTCTATCACCTTCTCTCCTTTTGTCCTTTCCTTCCTTACTCCCCATCTCCACTCTTCCTTTTGTCCTCTTCTTTTCAGTCTTACTCATCCCCACCCCCAGCACTCGCTTCTCATCCCCCATCCTCTCTCCTTGTGTTTCCCTGCCCCAGACTGAGGCGGCGTGTTATTAGTAAGGCAGCCAATGTGCCTGTCGGTGTGTGTTAGAGAGAGATAAGCACAGGTAGAGAGTTATATAAGCCTCTGTTGATTACTGTGGAGAAGAGGGAGGCCAGAAAAAGAGAGTGAGAAGGGGAGCGAGTGAGTGAGAAAGACAGATTGCTGTACCTTAGTAAGTACATTGTGCTCTAATGTCGCCTGTATGGCTGGCTGGTGCTTGATAAGTAGGACCGGGCTTCTGGGGCTGGTTGAAAGGACAGTCATTTGGTTGGACTTCTAAGAATAGCAACTTGCTTCATAGATTGGAAGTTTGTTTTTCTCACGCTGTTTAACGTGGGGGAAATAAATCCCTTTAAAGGTTTATTACGTTAATACGGCGTGACAGAATTGTAATTAAAAACAAGTGTACAGAAAATAACATTTCACATTTTTAAGCAGTTTTTGGATTGTTTTTTTTTAGTTTATTCTTTTATTCTTTTCTTTTTATTTGAAACAACATTTATAGTTTGTGAACCTTAAAACCACCTGCATTGGACTTTTTTTAAATATGTTGGCTTTTGGTTTGTATATAACCTTTAACTGCTCCAGAGCCGTTGTCCCTCTCCTCACTATTGTGTGTATGTTCAGACATCTATACAACACAGGTCATCTAGAAGTCTGCCCCACTATTTTGGAGGTGTAAAGAAAAGCTGTCATCCCCTTTCTTTGTACTTTTTGCATCATGTTCTGCTGTTTTCTGTGGCACAGACTCCATCCTCCAGCTTTGTCTGCAGCATTTCCAGCTGCGAGAGTGTTTTTCCTGCTGCCAAGTGCCTGTGTGAACAACAACAGAGGAATAAAACTGGACCGATTGGCCTCATATGTTTTAAAAACCATAAACTTTATTCTTCTCCGTGGAATTGCACAGAGTAACAATTAATATCGACAATAACACTGTTGATAGACCCTGAGTGTTCCCTAATAGCAGTCGTCTGGTGATCATATCACATCAAAGCTGCCACATGCCACAAGAACAATAGACCGACAATATTAAGTATTGATAGTTCCCTGTTCCACTCCATGTGTGTGAAGTTTTCTAAATTTGTAAATTCATAATTAATAACACTGGGTTTAGCAACATGCATTGAAATGACAGTACATATTTAAGATACTGAAGAATATATTTACATCATTTTGTGAGTGAAACGGAGCAGTTTGACAAAGCAAGTTCAGCTCGCTCTCTACCTCAGATCATGGTGGACATATCTACTCCTCTTCGCACTTCACTCGTAATAGCACCTCTTCAAGTTGCATCGGAAGTGTGTGCGCGTGCGTGTGCACGTGTTTGTTCTGGGCCTTCATCTGTATGCCAAGCATTTGTCTGGAGGCCCTCCAGCAAAAACCAGCTTAGGAAGAGCTCAAGGCCAAACAAGTGTGAGGATTAAAGGACGGAATAGAGTCCTCTCTTCTCCTCTCTTGTCGGTGGAGCAAGTGAGAGAGCGGTGCTCTCCACTCCCATAACCACCACTGAGATGCTCTTGACCAAAGCTCTAGAATTGCCAAGTGTGGCTCAGCGGCAGACTGTTGTGAAATTGGGCTGTTTCCAAATATCAAAATGACTCTTGGTCCTCGGGACGAAGAGCTAAAAATCTGATTATAGCTCCGAAACCGCGCCACATCGACTAATTTTACCTCAGATGCCGCACGCTCCTGACAAATGCTGTAATAAATGAAAAAACAAGTCGGAACAGCATAGGTTGTGTGTTCACTGTGTAGATCCCCTTTAGAATTGCTATTTTTCTGCACCTGACAAGCTAATTAAAATGTGCAGGTACAGAGTTGGCACAGAAGTATGGGAGGGGAAATTTTGAAAGCCTGTCAGTGGAGAGAGAGCCAATGAGTTAAAAAAAAAAAGATAAGAAACTAATTAAACAGGATAATGTACACTAAGCGATAATGAGATCATCTAACAGGTGGAAGGAAAAAGATGTGGTTCAGTTTTGGGCAAAGGAATGTGGTCAGTAAAGATTCTGAGGTCTTTGGTCAAAGCCTTTGTGATTCATCCCCTCAAATATCCAGGATTGATGTTTTTCTTTTTTCTTTTTAGTATGGAATGAAAGATAATGATCTCTACATTTTAAGTATCTGAGGGCCTCAGCTTCCAGCATTGTGGTGTAAAGAGGGAAGAAAAATGTAAGAAAACTGATGAAAAATTGCAAAACTATGTAGTGGAAAAAAATGAATCTCCTGCACTCTTAACAGTATTTCTTAAATTTAACACAGAATAAAGTCGTGTGTTGAAACTGACTTCTAGGGACTAGTGATATGATACAGTTTTATTATCTTCTAAATGTTCTTTTTTTCTCAAAAATAGGTGATCTTAGGTCTTGAAATCAGCTGCTTTTAACCAAAGATGGAATTGTCCCTCATCATTTCAGGATATGTGTTGCACTATTCTGTTTCTACAGAAAATATGGTGGACAGGTGGACTGACCATTGTCTTCGCTCCCTCCATAGTTCCTCTCTCCATATTTGGACTAGGAGAGTAAGGAAGGAAATATTCTATTGCTCCTATTCTATCCCTCACCCCTAATCCTGGAATACTGAATTTAAGAAACAGTTTTTGGTAGCTCAAATAATGTTAGTAAAAAAAAAAAATGTAGCGAGGCACTTACTGTAAATTATTGGAAGCCAATTATTTTATTTAATGAGAAGACATCATTAAATAATTTTTTTTAACCTTTGCTAGAAAGCAAACAACCTTGTAGTGCCTGTGTCCCGCTGAGAAAAAGAAAACAATACGAGTGAGATGGTCAAGGTCTTTCTCCTAATAAGAATTTGGTGAAGCAAGTACCAACAGACACGCCAACAGGAAGTGTATATAGGGGAGAAATGTGTAGAGGAGGGCATGTACAAAAATGTGGAATAACAATAAGGAGGGCTTTTTAAGTGTGAGAAAAGAGCTCGCACACAATGATGCTCAAACACAGCATTCCCTTCTTCCTTACCCCTCTCTTTTATCCAGCCTCAGTCACACAGACATGCCTGTGTGCACACAGTATTATGTAAATAGTCTCTTCGGCAGAGTGCTGCTGTCACTGAGCGAGCATCCTCTGGGCCATCCAGGCAGCCTCATTAAAATCAGCCGCAGCATTCATTAACAGATACCAGTGTGCACGTACACACGTGCGCACGCGTACATGCATATACAGTCCATAACCCACACTAAACGTTCTCGGGCGCCAATAAAGGACCTCCCAGGGAGCACGCTTCTGAATGTTCCTCTTTGGTGGCAGTCAAAAAATATCTCCAAGGAAACGGCTCAAATGTCACGGAGAAGAGTGCAGAAAGAGGGCAGAGACTGGCTGTAGTGAGAGAAATGTGGAGAAATGCTGAATATGTGGCTTCAAACGGAGACATTTCTTAATAATATTAACTTTTTTGTCTTTTGTCCTTTGTTTCTCCTCTGTTTCACCATCATTAACCCTGTAATGCCAAATGTATCATATCTGATCCGGTTTCTTTTGTATCTGACACTTTTTGCATCATTCAGTGGTAAAAGCTTTGCTCAAACCCCTGTTGTACACATTCAGATATACCTGATAACAACCAGTAGAAGACTACACCAAAATATATTTTTGACCTGTTGCACGCTAATTTGATCAAAATAATTTCAGTTTTTTTTTTTCTTCATATGTTGTTGAGGGGCCAAAGAAAGACTTCAGACTAAAAAAATCCAATATTCTTTCTATTTTTCTTGGATGCGGCTTTAAAGGGTTTATTACATTTTCATCTCAATTTGTAATATCAGTTTTTATAGTACATGTAAAAAGCACTGTATGTAAGGTATAAATATATGTATATATATGTGTGTGTGTGTATATAATTCACTACTTTTGACTAAAACCTGTAAAGTAAAAGGGACCCCCGTCTGTTTGTGATCTGCTGGCCCCGCAGGTGGCTCCCGAGGTGTGGGCTTCATTCGCTTTGATAAGAGGATAGAGGCTGAAGAGGCCATCAAGGGCCTGAATGGCCAGAAGCCATCAGGTGCTGCTGAGCCCATCACGGTCAAGTTTGCCAACAACCCCAGCCAGAAGACCAGCCAAGCCCTTCTGTCGCAGCTCTACCAGTCTCCCAACCGCCGATACCCCGGCCCCCTGCACCACCAGGCCCAGAGGTTCAGGTGAGTAGGGCACCGGGGAGGACAGGTTTACATCCGGTGCTACGGCAAAGGCGTTCGGTTAAACACAACATGGTAGGCAGTCAGCTCTCTTCTCGTGGTCTCTTTGAACCCACAAAGATTCCCAGCTGAAGCGGAGTGGCCACAGTGGTCCACTTTCCAGTAGCTTTGAAGCAGTCTTGTTGGAATTTGAAGAACCGGTCTAAGCATTTTCTATATTTTTGTTCAATAGAGGTGACATGAGGAGCCCTTTTAGGCAGTCCTGTTCTGGAAAGTAACTGTTTTTCTCGGTCTGCCTTTTTTAGGCCATAACAATGTCAAATTGCTCTCTGTTGGCACAATTGTAAAGATGGAGTGACATTTCCTGTTGATTCAGCTGTTTCTCTACAACAGTTGCATCAGGCTTTATATAAATAGAAATCCCAAAGAGCCAAACCTGAGTAGATGAACAAAAAAGGAGCTGCAAGTATGGTTCCCATGAAGCTCTTTGTAAGTAATTACTGGAAGTGCTTGGGTTTTGTGCCCACCTAAAGTTCCTGTGTTATGCTCCTAAATGCATAAAGAAACATTTGAATGCTTCTTAGCAACTAACCCTTACCTTGAAGTTTCTTTGTTGAATGACCCTGTGGACACAGTTTCATTTAACTGAATTAAAGAGAATTCAGCGGATTTCATGCTTTTTGGAACCAGTGCCTCCTCTTCATCCCCAGCTCTTTCAAAAGACGAGTCAAAATTAGAAACCGGTTACACAATGTGAATAACGGAAAAGTGGAGTCATTTCTGCCATCTGCAAAAGGTTGGAAATCTCTTTTATTAGATTGATTCATGTAATTATACTGGAAAGCTAATGCATAGAATAGTATCATTTTGGAAACCCGGATAAGAAATAGAAAATGTTTTCTCAGTTTGTCGAAAATATGACTACAGTTGATCAGTTTCAAACTTCACAGCAATTATTCTCAGTCAACATGTCAGCTCTAAACAACAAGCCCAAGTCTGAAAACATTTACACCAAGAGCAATTTATAGATTGTTCAAACAGAGGATGCAACGCCTCCATGCAGCGACCATGACTCATCGCATTGTCTGTGCTACAACACCGAGGCACCTCTTTCTCCTGTCAGCAACCATTTTGGCAAATCCTTCCTCTGTTTGAACAGCAGCTGTGATCTCTGCACCTGGTGCAGGTGTCAAAGGAAGCAGCCAGTGCTCGGGGTGGCTCCGCCACAGAAAAGAAAGGAACTGTTCAGAAGAGACTGTGGGGTTCTGTCGTTCACTACTGTGCATGCTCCTTCATTTCATCTCACTTCCATCATTTTCATAACTGTCAGGAAATCTCTGGTAGGCCTGAGCAAAGACATGTAGAGAGAATGAAAAAATAAGGGCAACATTTATGCCAAATAACAGTAATCTACCATCAATTCTGCACTACTAGCTTCAAGTTCAACATCTTTCTGTGTAAATATCTCATATTTAACTTGTGCGGCCTATATGTGTACAAAATAGATTTTATATTTCAACATTAGTCCATGCGGCTAACACTCACTTGCGCTCTATAGTTTCAAATTTACGGTAATATGTGTACAATTTAGTCATTTAAAATATCACATTTACTATCAAAATTCCAGCATAACATTATTTCACATTTATTTTTTGTACCTTACAATGTTCCCGTCCAACTGAATTATATTTAAAGCATCATAAATCCCTAACAGATTTTTTTGTGCAGGTTGAAATCAAGCCATCATTAGGCTCTAAATATGTATATGTATATCTTAACAGTTTATAGTTTTCATACTGCTAATATGGCATTTCCTGTCTCTCACTAATTATACAAACTGCCCCCTTCCTTATATTAAAAGTCACATGACAGCTTGAGATTTACTCAAGTTATGATGTACAACAAGTGTTAATTTCATGATCTAGCAAATTATTTCAGAAACAGCTGCTTGTGTATCAAACTCCGGATTTTTTTCAGACTTGGAGACAGAATATGTGCTTATATAATTTGCTCTCTCTTTCAATAACACTAAGCCAGTCATGCTGTTTACTCTCCATCAAAGTCAGAGCTTGGAAGGTATTTTTCTTGTGGAGCGGCTTCCCTGGTGTGACACCTGAGCGATGTAGCGTGGCTGTGTGTCTGTGATACGCCAAGCCAATTTACAGGCTCCGCAGGAGAGCTGTCGCTTCTCATCACAACTCACAACCACAGGACACTTCCTCACTGTGTCCCCGTGCTCCTGCTCTCTGCTCCCAAGCCCCTCGCTGAAACCTCAACACTTCAGAAGTTAGAAATGTGCTTGATGTGCACTACTCCTCATATTTTTTTCACCAATTTTATAAAGCGCGACTTGGCAAAATAACTTTTTTTTCCTGAATGTAGCATTTTATTTAGAGCAACCTCTATGTCCTTTGCTCCGTGTTTTGACTCGGAGACCATTTCAAATTTAAAGTTCGGTGCAGTTTACATCCAGAAGTGTTAGCGTGTTTCAATGTTAATGTTAAACATCGAATAAATATTGATTTACTGAAGCTGACCTTAATTAAAAATCAAATCAAAGTATGCTACTTTCAATTTCCCCATACGTAAATAAAAGCCTAGAAAAAGATCTATCGACAAAAAAGAGTCCAAAATGCTGCGGTTATAAGTCCATCCATCCTATGCGACTAAAAGCTGCTCTTGTTACTCAGATTAATGTATAATATGCTTCTATACAAGACAGCAAAAACAATCAACCTGAACACAATTCACCAAGCCCAGGATACTGGCCTGTTTCCTATCCTCAGTCGTTAACTAATGGTAGTAATTAGCAAATTAGCCTTATTATATTTCAGGGCAGGAGCCAGTTTTAATTGCACAGATTTTTGTTTCAAAAAAGACAAGAAAAAAAAGCGGCCATTCCTCCATTAGTGTGCATTGACTGGAGCACAAAGGCCCATTGTTAATGCTAGGCTTGGAGAGGCAGTGAGACGAGCTGGCAGAGTGTTTGCGCGGTTCGCTTTCATCAGTGTGCGTTTCTACACGGGATGGAGAGAGGCGGGCGGAGGGAGAGAGAGGGAGAGGGTGTGAGCGGCGTGTTGTTTTGTTGTGGCCCGGCGGCCCAGCGGCCGGCAGATGTCTCGATGCTCCCGGGCCTGGAGAGCCTCTCCTGCGAGTTTCCTTTCCAATTGACTCATTTACCCACAAAACAGACTATGTTCCCTGCCCACATAATGGGCTAATTACTGTTTTAATGATTCCAAATATCCTCCTCTCGCTATAGTTCATTGTTTTGGGGCTGCTTTCCTGTTCTTGGTGGTTTTGAGCGAGGCAGCACTAAGCAGGCCGACTCTGATCCCAGATAGGACTGCACTCAGACATTTCATCTAAACCATTAAAAATCATTGGGAAATTCTATCCAATAGGTGTTCGTAATAGTATTATTTTAATTCAGTTTAAACAAATTCAATTTCTCAGTATAAGTGAATCAGCCAGTGCCGAAACCTTATTTTAAAAAGTGAGGGATAACAGTGGGTCTCAGTCCTGCTTCATTAGACATATGTAAATCATAATACAGAAGATTTCTGTATTATTATTATGAAAATGATTAGGACATCTTCTGTATTATGATTTATTACAATAACACAAAATTCTCATCTTAAATTGCCCCTAATCAGATTAATAATTTGCTAGTTGTATTCAATTTGACATTATTCATACAAACATTTGTGATTTTTAGTATTTTTAAAGTTATTTACTGCAAGCCTGCAAGACTTAGTGTTTAAATGCAGTTGAATAACAATCAAATAATACATGTCTTTTTCAAACAATAAAGTTATTTTTATCCAAAGAATAAGCTGTATTTACTATATAGATAAATACTCTTTTCGGTTAGTCAGATTACTTGTACTATTGGAGGTCACTGCAGCTAATTCAGACTTTAGATGGTAAACTCTGACAGTGGTCTCAGGAAGTCCACTTAGCGGGAGCTACTTTATCCTTTCAGATGGACGCCGTTGATCAGTTAGACGTTAATGCTTTGGTAAACACTGTGTGGATGGGTTTGTGGGAGATTGTTATAAAAGAAAGGCAAAGGATTTCTGACTGCAAGGGACAAAGAGTTAGAGTCTGAGAGTTTGTCGTGTTTTCCAGAGGAATGAGGCGTCGCCGGCCAGCCAGCTGTTGCTCAATAAGCCGTGGCCTCTGTCCATTAGGCCAGAGGAGTTAATAAGACATGAGACAGGCCAGACCCCAGTGAGAAATGAAGGTCATTGAGTCACCAAGCAGACCGCATTCATCCACGAGGGCCAACATTTCATACAGCCCACAGGTTTCTGAAGCCCAGCGCACACACACAAACTGTGATTTACCCGGCCTGAAAACAACGGCTGGAGCTCGCAGGCTGAAATTATTCCGAAACCAGAACATCTCCCAAAAGCTAACCCTTTTAGACAGAGGACACCCTCTGACTAGCACTCAGCCGTTCCACCTGACCCGCCGCCACTTAACAGTTTGACCCCCATCCACAAAGACAGGCATTCATGATTTCATGGATAGTTTAACATTCAGTCGTGTTTTTGTTGTCCCGCCGCATAGGAAACCCACTAATCATCACCGCTTCTCTCACTCCCCATCATTCAAATTCAAAACCATTACACTGACAGAACTCTGGATCATTTCCTGTCATCTCAGGTGTTCTCTCAGTTGAGTTGACACCAAATTAAGACCATAGATGATCAAAAGGAATGCTCATTTACCTTCATCCTGATGAACCATCAGTGTGGAGACATAAATTGTATGGATAACCACATGCAATTTTCTGCACATTAAAGAATTATCTACTGTGGTGTAGCATTGCGGCTGGACTGTCATGCTAACAAAGCCCGTTGCAATGCCACACTTTAACATTCTGGACGTGAATCTGAAAAGCCAAAGTGTGATCAGGCTGTAGTTCTTGTGTAACAGCTGAACTGGTTGCACCCGCAGTAGTGTCAGGGTTCCTGAAACACTCTGCTCTGGCGTTAGCAAGAGCCAGGTAGAAAGCAAGAGCTTGTGATAAGATAACTCAGTGCAGACCGTACTGACTGTACTGGAGATTCATTAACTTCTGAAAGCATTGTCTGGTGGGGCTCCTCAGTGTAATGGACCAACTGTAGATGGGTTTGTTTGTTCTTGAGTGAGCAGGACCATGCAGCTCCTATAGGGACTTAACATTAGTTCCATTGAGTGAGTCGACCATCTGCCCGCCATTAACCCCAGAACCCTCCTTCTCTTTACAGGCTGGACAATTTGCTTAATATGGCCTATGGCGTAAAGAGGTAATTAAAAACTTCACCCAATGCCAGATGTCCATGTTGACTCAATAATTTTTCAGTATTCTTCTTTTCTGTTCTTTTTGTTCCCTTTAGTTTCTGTTTATATTTTTGCAGTCACTTTGAGTTCTTAAGGTCGACTTCATTATTGGTTCTTTTGTTTGTTTTTTCCTCGTCAGCTTGAGTTGGCTTTCGAACCCTCCCAACCACTTAAGGTGTTAAAATGTAGCCTTTGTTTTCAGTGATGATGACTTTTCGTTGTTTTGTTTATGACAAGTGCTGTTGTTGGTTTGGGTTGTTTCTGTGTACTGAACAGATTTTTTTCTCTGGTGTAAGATTTCTAATTTTTCGGTGTGTGCTTGTATTTGTTTATTTTTTTCTTGGGGATTCAGGTTCTCCCACCTTGTCCTTATGTAGCTGTAGTGAGATGGTAATTTTTCAATGTGACACCATATAGGACTATACATATTTTACCATATAGGACTATATATACATATATATATATACGCTTAATATCTTGACAGGATTTAGCTAGATAAGGAAACGAGATAAGTTTGGATGAACCTGGATCCCTGCTGGAAACAGGACGTGCTGTTTCATTGCAGACAGCTCAGGCTTTCTCTGCTCTACTCTTCTCAAGTTCCTTTCTTTTGCCTCCATGCTTTTATTTTTTTTATTTTGCTGTCTTGCTACCATAGGTATTATGTAACTCAAAACTGCAGCCCCTGTGGAAGTAAATGGCACCTAGCGGTGGGCTCTTGCATGTTTAAAGCACAGGGGACACCATCAATCAATCAGCTTAGCAACTCAATATTTTAGCTCAGTCAATATTTTCTTTAGTACCCCTGAATGAAGATATTTTTGTCAAATATCCTTTAAGAATGTCAATAAAGAATAACACAGGTTTGATCCATAAAGATTCACAGTTTTGACCTTCAGTGAGTACTGCTGCCTCACTTTGAGTCTTTAAATAATTTTCTAAAACTGAAAAGAGGTTGATAGAGCCACCGTGATTAAATCACACTTTTTAGAGTTAGATGGGTCAGATGGGTTTTGCAGTGATCTGAGATTAATATTTGAAAAGAATGGTGTTAAAATGTGGAAATTGTTGAGCTCCAGAAAGGACAGAATAGATATTTGGTCAGCTACACTGTTGCTATGCAACCTCTAGTCTTGTCTGTAACAGTGGTTAGTGTTTTTGGTCCCGCTCTATTGGGTACAGACCAATACACGTTTTCACTCCTGCACACTTGCACAATAACTCCCGGGTATGCCGACTTGCTCGTGTCAACATCCTCACAGCTACAGTGTTAGCTAACCTTCGCGCTATCATACCCCCACACACTCAGGACCGTCACATTTTCCAGCCTTTGTATATCGTTTAGGATATGTTAGAATCACCTCAACAACAGAGTGAGGCCAAGTCAGTCCGAGTATTTCTAAAATACTCCGCTGCTGTAGAGTCCCCTGCGGAAAGAAAACAAATGTGATGTATTTCATTATTATAGATTTATAATTAAGATGCTTTTCATCTCATCTGAAGCATGCGGAGAGATTAATACTGATATAATGTGTTTATCTTTTACATCTATAATATCTAACACATCATAAAACTCGACTCGGGGCTCAAAGCTTGCACAGCCAATGAGACAACCCCCCTTGAAGATTGTATTAGAATTCAAAACAACCACAAAGGCCAGAGGCAGACTCTGCATGACCAAAGTCATGCAGGAAGGTCGTAGTGATTGCCGACCATATATAGTCACTAGAGAGAAAAGGCTGGAGGCCCTGAGCAGCAAGCAGCGCTATCGATCAGTGCCAGGAGCTCTGGAATAGATCAGACCAGAACACCCTACAGGAGGGGGAGGAATACACTTTGTACCATAATGCCACTGGGCTGTAAAGTGCTTCCATTTTCCATTTTTTTCTCCCCATTTCCCCCCTCCTTTTCCTCAAGAAAGCAGCCTTCTCTGAGACAGCTGCAGCAAAGCGGAAATCTCAATTAAAGGATTCGCAATAATGCCTATAGTCGTTTCAAGGAGAGAGGTGGCATAAGAAATGAAGCTTTTTATCTCATTTACCTTTTATTTAAAAGTGGTGGGACTTTTTCCCCCCTTTTCCTTTTCCTTTGAGCTGAAAGGCAATTAAGTGAAGTCAGCTGAGGATTCAGATCTCTTGCATCACAAGAAAAAGGAGAAGATTATGAGGGGAACGAGGACAGATTTAGCAGGCTGCTGCGCGATCTTTGATGAAATTCTAGCAACAGTTTTGTTCAACAACTTCCTACAATTTAGCAGAGAAAGGAGCCACTTGGGGACACAAAGAAAGAACCTTCATCTGCATCTTCTTCAGCAGACGCGTAGCTCAGCTCAGGCTGTTCTGACAGGAGACCGTTAAGAGCTGAGGAGCTCTGGGAGGATTTACACGCAGCTTTGCAGACATGCTTCATAGCTTTGCATTTAGCCATTAGCATCAGACATTTACAGCACATTCTGATTCATCTAAATTAGGAAGGTTTGGTCTGGAGACCAGTATCTCCATGAGCATCCCAGCGAGCTGTTTCTAGTTTAAAGGGGAACACTATGGGGGAAGGTTTCTGTCTAGTGTTTGGCCATTCCATGTCCATGCAGACTATGCACATCGGAAAGCCTGAACCTGTCCAGTTAACGCTTGCCGTTCTTTCTCCCCCCTCCCATTCTGGCTTTGTCTCTCAGGTTCTCTCCCATTACCATTGACAGCATGACCAGCCTTGTTGGGATGAACATCCCCGGGCACACGGGCACCGGATGGTGCATCTTTGTCTACAACCTGTCCCCAGATTCGGATGAGAGCGTGCTCTGGCAGCTGTTCGGGCCGTTCGGCGCCGTCAACAATGTCAAGGTGATCCGTGACTTCAACACCAACAAGTGCAAAGGCTTCGGCTTCGTCACCATGACGAATTACGACGAGGCGGCCATGGCCATCGCCAGTCTCAACGGCTACAGGTTGGGCGACCGTGTCTTGCAAGTCTCCTTCAAGACCAACAAGACACACAAGTCCTGAACTTTGACAGGTAGAAGCAGTTGCCCCGCGACTTTGTCTGCTCCAAAATTGCCCCCACCCCACACCTCCACTCGTCCCTTAACCCTTTCAGTCACCACCACCACCACCCTACAACAGCCATCCAACACAGCAAACTCAAACTCCCTCTGGAACACAAAGCAGCCAACAAACCATCAAACAAATTGAACTAGAAATGGCTTATATTATAACTTTGGACCTATAAGCCAATGTTGCCTAAGTATTACAAAAATGAAATGATGAAAAATGTTCACAAGTTTTTGGAAGCTCCTGTGATAATGCAGGCTTCTCTTTATTGTATATTCTTTCTGTTTGTTGTGATTGTTCAAATGATTTTTCTCTTCTGTGTAAACAGTAGCAAATCCCTGTATCTCCTTGTTTCAGAGAAGGGAATATCCTTTTTAGATTGGAACCTTTTCTCTGTCTTGATTCAGGATTTGATTTTCTTTTGTAAATCCGGATCCACTGTCGTTAGTATTATTGACCTCCTGATCAGCGAAAGGGAGGGGGCTCTTTTTTAAATTGGTAAACCATTCATTCATTTTTTTTGTGTATGTGTATTAAAACGTCCCCTTATGAATTATACATGGGATTACACAGTCCCACTTACTCAGATGTAGAAAAAAAAAGAATTTCTAACATTGTTTTTGTTTTGTATCGCAAACAAAACATAATGTCTTTCCTCACTGGGTTTCAGGGATATGGGACGAGGGAGGGGCTGGGTTAGCTTTCCTGATGACACGTTCAGTAATTTAAGAAAAAAAAAAATAACATTGTTGCCAAAGAGAAGATCTCTTTGCTTGGAAAAAATGCGTTTAGAAAAAGATAAAAATAAATAGAAATATCTATTTTTATAAATGATAATTAAAATAATAATTATTGAAGAATTTTTACAAGAATCTGGATTTGAAAAAAAAGAGAAAAAATATTTTGACTGGCTAACTGGGGGGCCGGGGCGGGTGGGAGGGTGCACCACCTTGTCTTGTCGTTCTGCCGTGGTACTTTGTAGGATCGAAGGTTGTTTGTTTTTTGGGGAATCCAAGTTGGTGGAGATTTTGTAGATGGAAGGTTTTGTGAAAAGGGATGCAAACTGAGGCGGGTGATTTTGGTAATTTTTCACATATGTACTAGTGCGTAATTATTCAACAGCGATACCCAAAAGGGAAGGGAGAGGGGTCTCTCCAAGGCCTAACCAACCTTACAGTCCAGAGCCCAAAGCAAGAAGACCCTTTGTCCTCTTGTTTTCTCGTTTTTGTCATCAGTCGATATGGGATATCAGTAAATAGATATATACACATCTATCCATTTAGAGAGCATACTATACATTATCTATATCATTTCCTTTGCTCTGCGTTTGTGAACTTAAATTTGAAAAGAACTTCCTTTTAGCGATCAACAGTAGGTGCTATACTACATTATTCACATATCTTAAATATCCAAGTTTGTTGTTCTATGTGTTGTTTAAAGAAAAAAAAAACTTCGATGTTGGCATTGAATTGAGCTGCTGTTCTTTGTTTAATATTTGTTTAATGTTGGCCCAGAAATCTGGTGAGACTTCTTTGCTGAATCATCAGACAAGATGAATTTTGGGCCTTGTAAGAATCACTGAACAAATTTTGATTTCTTTCCTTTTTGTTTGTTTGTTTGTTTGTTTGTTTGTTTGTGTTCTGTTTGGCTTGCTGACTTTTAGGTTACTCGCTGAGCGTGAAACGTTTGTCAAAACTTAATGATGATTAGCTAGTTCCGTTAGTCTAGATATTTGTTTCCTTAAAAAGGATCTATGACAACTGTGTCTTTATTTGCTGTGTACAAATAGATGATATATATAAATATATATATAGTCTACATTTGTTTTACAATATCTACTGTACTATCTGAGTTGTCACTGTTTTTTTGTTTGAGCTTGTCTTTTTCATATGACAATTTATTATGAAGTGGTGGTTCAGTTACTTAGAAAAACTTGTGAGGAAACTGTTCAATTGTTGTCATGTTGCTTGTGGAGAAAAAAAAATTGGATTAACTTTCAGTTAACAACCGCGGCAAAAGAATCCGAACAAAAGCTTAGAATATAACTGTGTTCGTTTGACAGTTTATTTACTTATCTATTTTTTCAACTATTTATTTTTGTATTTATTTGTATTTATTATATATTTATTAATTGCTTAATTTATCTGTGTATTTATGTATTTATTTGTTTCATTGTCTGTGTATTTGCGTGATTCTGGTACAGGGAGGGGGGCGTTTCTGAGCAAAAGGGAACAAAGCGACTAGTGGAGAGACTCTTCCAGTAGTCCACTGCACTGAGAGAACTTTTAGTACGTTTGTGCTTTGTACCAATATATCAAAATTACAATATAAAAAAATCTAAAAGTCAAGAAAACTGAAAAAAATGACCGGAGGGTTGGGGGACGCTCTTCCCTTATTACTAGAAACAGTTACTCGCTATGCATAACCTAGTTAATAGTTCAATTTGCTATTGCTTTTTTCTTGTCTTGTTAAAATTAAATCTTTAGATCTTTTTCAATAAAGTTTAGTCTTAATAGAATGTTATAAACAGTCGTTCTGGTTCAATATAACCTGTGATAAGTTTGTGTAGTTCTTAAAAAGCCACTCCGTCCACACCCTCCCTCCACTTACTACCGCTTTGTGATGAAACCTTATGCAAAAATGTGGGTCTGAAAGCATAGTTTTTCAGTTTTCTGTAAACATTTTCTTCAACATTCAGCTCTTGGAGGATTGGGCAGATCAATTTTAAAGTAGTTGTTTGGGTCATTCATTGCACTGGACTAAATTGATCAAAATCACTAAAGAGTCTAAACTTATTTTTAAGGTTATTCATCATGTTTTCAAATGACATACCAACCAATCTTTTAAAGAAACATTGTTACCATTGCACACAAACTGCTATTTACAGCAGCTGTTGCTATTTATATATATATATCTATATATATATATATATAAGAAATACTCTGGAGGTATAAAGGGGCCGACTCTATATTTTATATACTCTAACATGATATATACTATATATTTTGAAAGGCGAAAGGTAAGGGAATGGTTCCAGAAATATAGGCCTACATTTAAGGATTTGGATTTGTTTGTTACTTGTTCAAAACATGAAGGAGGTGTGTGGAGAGTATTAAAACTCTCAGCCGCACGCTCACACGGTCCATCCTCCCCCCCCCCCCCCCCACCTCGCACATCTGGCACGCCAGGTCATCCAGCGCCATCGACTTTTTCCAATCATCCTCCGCGCCGTCCAATCGCAGCGTTCTAAAGTGTTCTAACGTCACAAACAGCAACAAACCAACCAACCAGACCCCTTCATGCTCCCCGCTGCCGTCGGGAGCTTGAATTATGCAACGACCCCGGTAGAATGTTCTGATGTGTGAATTTCCTACACTGTATGACTTTTAAACTATTTCGACGTGTGCCTGTGTTCCGCCTAAACCCTGGATGCACATGTGTGTGCGCGTGTGTCTGTGTGTGTGTGTGTGTGTGTGTGTGTGTTTGTCTGTGTGAGTGTTGATGGGGGCCTGCATGTGTGCACATTTGTAGGCATGTTCCGTTATGTATTTGTGTGTGTTTGTTCACATCTATTTCTTTCAGCGTAGTGTACATCCATGGGTGTGTGTGTGTGTGTGTGTGTGTGTGTGTGTGCACTGTAAGCATACGTTAACGGTTCTTGTGTTTGGC